TGGCTGGCATGTGGTGCTGGGGGATTGAACCGCGGTCCCTGTGCTTTGCTAAGCTTGTTCTAAGTAGGTGCTTTAGACCACTGAGCCATCTCAGCAGCCCCATCTAACTGCATTTTTATGAAGCAGAGTTTCTGCAGTGACAACCAAAATGAGACTCTGGAGTAGACTGGACATAAGCACACACTGTGGGTGTCACTGTCTCCTATGCCCTCCACATGGGGCCATCTAGGTGCAAGCTCAGACCTCCTCTGGTTTGCACTATAGTAAGTTGAATAATTACTTCATTGTACATTACAATGTAATAATAGCAATTAAGTGCACAATAAATGTAATATGATTGAATCATCCTAACCACCCCCCACCCCAGTCCATGCAAAACCACATCTGGTGCCAAAAAGGTTGGGAACCACTGCTCTACTGAAAAGACTACCAAGGAAAAACAGTGGTTTAGGGTAGAAGGAGTAACAGGAACTTAATGGCATAATGATTTAATGAGCCTGGACCTGATTCCTGTGTGTACCTGAAGAAAACTAGAATGGGGATAAAAATGACCAACATTGCCAGGGGCAGTGACACATGCTGTAATCGTAGCACATGGGAAGCTGAGGCAGGATTGCCATGAATTTGAGGCCAGCTTGGCTAGCTACAAGTGAATTTAGGACCAGCCTGAATTCTACATAGTGAGACTCTGTCTCATTAAAAAAAAAAAGAAAGAAAAAAAGAAAAGCATCATGTTGGGTGACATGGTTAGCTTAAAACGGCAAGTTTTACAAAGCTCTTGTTAGACTCATAAGGTTGACAGCAGACTTCACAGGACCCGAGTCCTCCAAACTGGTGTATACAGTGTTGCATGTATAACTATGTGTATTTTTCCATAGATTAACTGGGCTGCAGACAGAACAGAGGACCCCAAGAAAGCTATGACTGCAACATACATGAGGAACAAGCTCTGGCCCTGCCTATCTCTGAACTTCAGCTACCAGCATCTTCTTTTGAAGTCTCAGTGCCTGCAGCTGAGCAGAGAGAAGACACAATGTAAGCAGCACCCATGGAGTGGAGCAGTTACAGGAGCCCTCCTATCAGCTTGGCTGGCTGCTCCTATTTTAACCCTGCAGTTCAGAGCCAGTCTCCAGTCTCCCAAGTACAGCAGCAGGTTTAAAAGGCCCACTGTACCTCAGATAGCCAGACATCTCTACAGGCAAAGGGAAAATGCATGTATCACTGTGTTGACAATCACTCACAAAGTGTTTCAAGTGGTAACAATCTGTACACATATAGAGAGGAGAGGAGAAGAGAGGAGGGGGGAG